CATTAATTCAATTAGTTAATGATTTTTTATTTGGTCAAACAGTTAGTTAATGATTATTCTAAACTTCTTTTTTCTTATTAATTTCACACAATCTTAACAAAATAAATCTTCATCCATGGCAATTTACATATCATTACTATTATCAAATATTAAATAATTGCTTTATCAAATCATAAACTACATTTTGAGCTTTATCAAATCATAAACTACATTTTGAGATTATAAACATATAGAATTTCTATTAAGATTAAAACTAAATGATTTTAACGACTTATTACCAATTTTTAAATAATAAATGGATTATATTTTTATGATTTAATCTAATTAAAAACAAATAAAATGTCAAATTGGTATGATATAAATGATATAATAAATAAATATCTACAAACATTATCTCACATATACGTACAATTTTAAACTATCCTTGACAAATATGATATATAAGTTTTGGATAACCGGTTGAAAAAAAAACTGGTAGTTATATTTAACTCTCAAAATCTCAAAATGTTGAACAAAGTTCAACTTTTGGACGTATAAATCTCTACTTTTGGACGATTATATAAAATTTTACATATATTAAAATTATATTTAGTTACATGTAAATGGTGTTATTTATTAAAAAAAATATAAACTTATAGGAATGGATATGAGACGGGAACATAGAATTCGAAAAAAACATTATCTGAATTATTTCTCATAAAAAAAACGTGATTAGATATAATTGTTATGAGACACAGTCATAAAGTTAAATTCACTTTCAACTTTCAAATATAAAACTACGAGTACGATACGAGGACATGTAATTTAAACTGTTAAATTTAATTTCCACTTTCCTATTTATTTCAAATATTTAGAAATATTTAGACATGAAATGACGGGTACAAGAAGATAACGTATACTTCGGATAACAAAACTAGAATAAATCCATGTATTAAAAAAATAGAGATACTTAAATCTTTAGAAAACAAAAAGGCTAAAACATGAATCGTTGAATTGAAGAAAGTAATGAGAAATAAAGATGAAACTGAAAGATCAATAAAATTAAAAATCGAACAAAGATTGTGTACGCTAGGATTACATACAGTGCCTTGTGAATGAAAATGGTGGGAGCATGTGACTTAGATTGATAATTAGATTTTTATTAGTTTTATAAAAATAAATATTTAAACGAGGAATACGGGTATCCTGTCTAAATCTTTTACCAAGTTTTTTTATAAAAAACATCGCCAAATGATTATGTTTTAAAAAGAAACGATTATGGGACGGAGATTTTATGACAGATAGAAGACGGGACGGGACGGGGCGGGGTGGGACGGGACGGGTCAGGACGAGACGGAAAGGGACATGACGGGTTTTCCATTATAAACTACACATAAAACAATTCAAACTAAAGCTAAACCCAAATCCGATTTAACATGTCTAAGCAAACAGTTAGAAATGTTTTGATTAGTTTAAAAAATAAACATGTTATATCACTTATCATTTTCATTTAAATAATTTTAAAATTGTATTATGTAATACAATATCTATATTTTACAACTGTATGTAATATTTTACAATAGTTTATCAAATATACACATATAACAAAATTTTACCAAAATAGCATCTACTAAAAAAATCGTAATTTTGTAAAAATAACCCTGCACGTACGTGCGGGTCCATCACTAGTTATATATTATGATTCAGTTGGTTCATAAATCAGAACCCTAAGAAAATCGCAAATAGTTCAAAACACAAAGATGGCCGGCGAGAGCTCGACCGCCGCTTTAAAACGTTGTCGGAAAACCAAAGAAGAAGTAGTAGTAGACGTGATCAGCACGTTACCTGATGTGACTTCATTGGTGGAACTTGTGGTTAAGAACACAAAGACACTAGAAAAGATGGAAATACTGTTGGACGAACGTTACCTTAAGTTTAAGTTTACGGATTTGGTCCTTCCAACACTTTCTCATAGCAAAAACGTCTCCATCAATGTTGCGCTGTTCACCAAACCGTGCAAATCAGATGAATGGTGTGAATCATAGGTCTCTATTAGTCTCTAGTCTTATTGTATTTTATCTTGAACATTTTACATCAAGCCTCACTTAAACAAACATACAAGCTGGAACAAGACATCCCTAGGGCTGAACCTCATTATTCCTCTCATATTAGTCTAGCCAATAAAAATAGAGTAATATGTTCACAAGTGTACATGATCTACGACCTAATATGTTGTGAGTTCCATCAAGTGATCAGCATTGATAATGCATGCAGTTCATCATTTTGTAACCATTCTTCGTTGTTTTGCAAACCAAAAGATCATTATTATGTTTTCTCTATTTTAATGGTTACTACTAGATATATGAGATTTTTATTTATCAAAGTTTAAATCCATAGTTTCTACTCTCAAAATATCAGATTCAGACTAACATTAGAAATACAAATTGATCAACAACGATGACGAACTTCTCTTACTCAACCGATTTCAACTTAAACCAATATACAGTATCAACTGCAATTTAACACATACGTCAAACAAAGTATAATAAGAATATCAATATCATTGTAGATATATAATTTTTTTTTCCCATTTTTTTTTTTAAATAATGTAAAATTATATTCAAGAAAAAATTATATTCTGGAACAAGTGCCGTTGGGAATTTAGAGTCAAAGCATGTGACTTCATTGGTGGAACTTGTGGTTAAAAACACAAAGACATTAGAAAAGATGGACATACTGTTGGACGAAGATTACCTTAACTGATAGGGTGATTGGACCTCTTTCTGAGCCGAGTTAGTTAGCAGGCCACCGTGTATTACGGTTCTGATATTAAAACGAGTACGTATTTAAAGTTTTTTTGTATATTGATACTGACCATAAAGGTCGAATATATACAAACGTACAATCTTGGGAACCAAGCAAAGATCCTAACTATATGGAATATACGATATATATGAATCTATAAATACTATATAATACATCATCTTACAATTGGTTTAATGACTTACCTTTTTTTATAGGGTTTGGTGCAAATAAACCCTTCAAGTCGTCAAGTCGTGAAAATGTATTTTCTGGAACTAAAACAATTAGCAGTAGCCGATTTAGGTTTCATTTCAACAATATAAAATAACTTATATAGACATGAGACATCGGCCAAAATGAAACTTCGCCCCTTTGAAACAAAACAAAACCAAATGTGTCCTGAGTTCTATGATTCTATCTCCAACGTATCATTAATCATGTTGGATACACAAAGTGAATCATTATATTTTGAGTTTTAACTAAACCATACTTCATGCGTAAGTTACTAGTAAAAAAAATACCAATAGGCAATAGCCACTTGACAGTTGCGAAAATCCTTGGCTAAGGTGATTTGTTTTTAAAAAACTTCGAATTATTTAAGCTACAACGCTATAGTCACGAACCATGTTTAAAAAATCCCCGTCTAGATCCGATTACTCTCCGTGTAATCACTAGGCCCACTTTATCTGCTTCGAATAATGACTAATCTCCGCCGATCTTTTTTGGTTGGTTATTAAACATTTATATTAAGAATTTGCGATGTTTTAAAATAATTTATGTTAAAACTTTTAATAAAAATAATAAATTTTGGCTTTAAAAATATGATTTTGACATATTTACTACAGTTCTAAAACAAATATTATAGTTTTGTATGTTATTAGATTTTGATCCGCGGGACTATATATTTTTTAAATTATACATATCTAAATTTATTTATTTTGAATATAATATTGATATTCATAACTTTGGGTTTGTTAAACGTGCATAGAATTTTATGAATTATTTTTACAGGTTTTTCTAAAGTTAGTATTCAAATTATATGATTTTTTTTTTTTTGTGTTCGGTAGATTTAACCCGTGGTTCATGTAAAATTTGTAAGTTAATTTAGTATGCATATTGAAATTGTTTTATCAACTAAGAATATATAATTTATATTTTTTATCAACGTAAAATGGAAACTTTACAAATAATTACGTATTGTTTAATATTACTTATTATTTTGTTAAAATATATATATATATATATTTTGTGTTAGATGAGATATGAAAAAAAATAAAAAATAAATAAATATGTGGGAATTTCAAAAATAATTATTTTCATGATTTTGGTATTGCAATATATATATGTAATTTATCTCTACTATTTTTTGAACAGCAATATTTTATCTCTCTATAATCAATATAACCACGATTATGGTTTTTAAATAAAAATAATTGCAATGGATTTATATAACATATTTTTAGTTGGTAAATATTTTATTAAACATGCTGAGTAGTGAATAATATAAAATTTATAATTCCAACTGATTTATAGGTTCCTCTTAATTTTATTTATTGTAAAGATATTGCATAGATTTTAGGAGAATTAAATTGGGGAATTGATCTTCAGATTAATTATGGAGTGATTTTAAGAATATTTGGTTTGAAGAGAATAATGTTAGCATCAAAATTTTGTTTCAATTTATTTTTTTAAGAACATTAAATACCAATGGCATTCTTAGTAAATAGTTTGGAACTTCAGGATTTATTTCAAATACTGCTGTAAAAATGTTAATATAGATACTGTGTTTTTAATAAAATAACCTAAAACTAGTTTCCGATTAATCCTCGTTTAATCCCCAATTTTTTTGCTAGGCGCTAGGCCCACCTCGGCCGTCCGACTAGCGCCTAGCGATTTTTAAAACATGGATCACGAATATTCAAGTGGTTATAGGTATATTTTTTTTTTACTAGTCGGAGGAGCCATATGATGAAAATAAGAATTTTACATTATTTCCTAACTAGCCCCTTTAAAACTTACGGAAAAATAAGGTAGCTGTTTCATAAATTGTAACCCTAAGAAAATAGCAAATAGTTCTAAGCGTCCGTCGTTTGACTCCTTACAGTCGACGACGTTGTCGGAAAATCATGAACGGAGCAGACGTAATCAGCACTTTACCTGATGTGATACTCCAACATATACTTTGTTTCATTCCAACCAAGTTCGCAATCAGAACAAGTCTTCTCTCAAAACGATGGAGGCATGTATGGTGCGATGTACCTTCTCTCTACTTCATTGATTACACACCTAATGATGATGCTTCTCTTGACAAAACCCTAAGTTACCACACTGCTCCTAAGATGATGAACTTTCACCTCCGTACCACTAGCGATCTCCACATAGACAAGTGGGTCAAGTTAGCCATGTCCCGCAACGTGGAGAATCTGTCCTTGGATCACTGGAAGGTTCATGAGTCTCCTATTCCTGATTGCTTCTTTAACAATTCTTCGGTCAAGCAACTCACCTTTAAGTTATGCTTCATTGATTTAACTCCCAAATACTCTGTGTTTTGGACATCACTTAGGAACTTTTCCTTGGGTTGTTGTAGAGTGTCTGATGAATCCATTGCTAAGATTCTATCTGGTTGTCCAGTTCTTGAAAGCTTGACATTGTATCTTTGCTATAAACTGATGGTTCTTGATCTCAGCAAATCATCGCGTCTGAAAACACTAGAAGTATACCGCAACAGTAAGGTACCCGGGCCAACGCAAATTCTAGCACCACATATACATTGTCTCAGACTAAGAAACTATCTTTTACCATGTACTTTAGTCGATGTCTCGTCTTTAACCGAAGCCAATATGGAAATTGGCTTCAACTATGTGCAAAGGACGGTGAATGCTGATGTTCTTCAAGTAATGGTGCTAAAGATGCTAGAAAAGTTAAAGAACGCGGAGATGCTTACTTTTGGAGGAAACTTTCTTCAGGTTAATATATCTAATGCCACTAAACTAGTTGGTTTCACAGTTAAATATGCATGGTAGTACTACTCAATGTATATGCTCAATGTATACATCTTTTTGTGTTTTTTGGTTAGATTTTATCTATTGCCGAGCTTTGTGGTGTGCCTTTTCCGATGTTGAAGGTCAAATATTTGGTTCTTGAGACAGTGATCTTTCAATATGTTATTCCTGGTATCGAAAGGCTGTTACAAAACTCACCTTGTTTAAAGAAGCTAATCGTACGAGCAAGGGGTCGCAACACCTTACCAGTACGTTTACCATCAACTCCTTTTATTTTCCTTGGCCTTTCTTCTAACTAACTATCATCTGAGTTCAAAATCTATATGTGTTTTTTCTTTTTGTTGAGCAGAGCCTTTCCAAGTACCTAACTACGCGAGGCTTGGATCCTGATCAATGCTGGAGATCAAAAGATGGAGTCTTCTGGAACAAGAACCGTTGGGATTTAGAGTCAAAGCATGTGACTTCATTGGTGGAACTTGTGGTTAAGAACACAAAGACACTAGAAAAGATGGACATACTGTTGGACGAACGTTACCTTAAGTTTAAGTTTACAGATTTGGTCCTTCCAACACTTGCTCATCATAACAACATCTCCATTAATATTGGGCTCTTTACCAAACCGTGGGAAGCATATGAATGGTGTGTATTTCGTCTGCAGTCTTGTTGAACCCTCTTTTCTTAATAATGGGTGTATTTTATTTGTTTTTGAACATTTTACATCGAACATATATACAAGCTGGAGATTTAGCAAAAAAATTATTTCTTTTACCAAAATATATACAAGCTGGAAGAAGAAATTTTGGTCTTTAAAAAAGTCTTTAAGATCAATTAAGCTTTGATCAACTCAACCATTTGGTCAAGGGGCTTCCACTAAATTATTTGCATAGCACGGGGTGAGTTTTGTTTCATACATTCTATTTTCATATTTTAAAATTTTAAAATGTTATACTATACTTTTAAAGTGTCGCACAATATATTTTTTATATAACTCCCTACAATTAACATGTCTCCTGCGACAATTATTTTAATTGTTTTATTTTTAAAAATAAAATCAAAGTATGTTTGTAATTTGTACTGTTTGATATGATAATTGGGCAAACTATTTGTAAGCTGCTTCCATTTAGCTAAACGACCATGTTTTTTAAACAAAGAAATGACATCGGAAGACACTTTCATCCTCCAAAGATCCATGACATAGCAACAACTTCACAAGAGGTAGAGATAATTTGTAGATTTTTCTAATGTTAGGGATTTAGATTAATGAATTTGTGAATCGATTTTGGGATTTTGTTTTTTCAATTGGTTAAACGATATCATTTTCTAAAGCAACTCATGAATAGTTAATTCTCTCTTCGAGATTTAACAGAGATTAAACGTCATGCTTAAATAAGCGTGATCAACAAAACTTAGCTATTTTACGGAAAAGTCAACATAAACGGTGTGATTAAAATGACTTCTTGAAAATTCAGCATTTATCCGTCCCAAATTTGAAAGTTCGGATTTTTATGACATTTTCTCAATAATAATTATCCTGAATTCTATCTGCAGCATATGGTTCCAAACTGTTGTTACGAACTTTTGAGTGTGAATTAAACCATATTCGGAGTCATGCAGTTAAGTGAGCGAGGTTCGATGTGTAATGGTCAAAGATGAAATAAAATACCATTATATGATCATGAGAAGAAAAAGTTTCAATAAGACTAGCTAGAGAGACTATAAGCCCTTATGAGTTATTATTCACACCATTCATATGATCTCCACAGTTTGGTTGAGAGAGCAACATTGATGGAGACGTTTTTGTTATGATGAGCAAGTGTTGGAAGGACCAAATCCGTAAACTTATACTTAAGGTGACGTTCGTTCAACAGTATGTCCATCTTTTCTAGTGTCTTTGCGTTTTTAACCACAAGTTCGACGAATGAAGTTATATGCTTTGACTCTAAATCCCAACTGTTCTTGTTCCAGAAGACTCCATCTTTTGATCTCCAGCATTGATCAGTATTCAAGCCTCGCGTAATTAGGTACTCGTCTACGTCCTGCTCAATAAAAAGAAAACAATACAAAAATGGATACATATATAAACTCTGATCATATATAGTTAGATGAGAGGCCAAGGAAAATAAAAGAGTTGACGGTAAAAACATACTAATAGGGAATAAGGGTCATGGGCCATTTAGTACTATTGTACAAGGCTAATGGCCATGGCCCTTATTCGCTATTACATACCGGTATGTTGTTGCAATCCCTTGGGCGTACGATTAGCTTCTTTAAACAAGGTGAGTTTTGTAACAGCCTTTCGATACCAGGAATGATATCCTGAAAGATCACTGTCTCGAGAGCCAAATATTTGACCTTCAACATCGGAAAAGGAACACCACAAAGCTCGGCTAGAGATAAAACCTAACAAAAAAAAACACCAACAAGATGTATACATTGAGCATATACATTGTGTAGTACTACCAATCTACCATGCATATATTATACAGATTTAAACATTCCTAAACCTGTGAATTTAACTGTGAAACCAACTGATTTCCCGGTATTAGAGATATATTGTAATAATGAGCTCAAAAGATATATATACCTGAAGAAAGTTTCCACCAAAAGTAAGCTTCTCCGTGTTCTGTAACTTTTCTAGCATCTTTAGCACCATTACTTGAAGAACATCAGCAGTGACCATCCTATGCACATAGTGGAAGCAAATGTCCATTTTCGCTTCGGTTAAAGACGAGACATCAACTAAAGTACACGGTAACAAAGAGTTTCTTAATTTGAGAGTATGGACATGTGGTGCTATAATCTGCGTTGGCCCGGGAACCAGAATGTGGCGGTCTACGTCTAGTTTTGTCAAACCCAATGATTTGCTGAGATCAAGAACCGTTGGTTGATCGCAAAAATACAATGTTAAGCTTTCAAGAACTGGACAACCAGATAGAATCTTAGCAATGGATTCATCCGACACTCTACAAGAACCCAAATGCAACTTCCTCAACGATGTCCAGACCACAAAGTCTTTGGGAGTTAAGTCAGTGAAGGATAAATTAAACTTGAGTTGCTTCACAGAGGTATTGATGAAGAAGAAATCAGGAATAGGACACTCATGATTCCCGACTTCCAAGGACAGATTCTCCACGTTGCGGGAGATGGCGAACTTGATCCACTTGTCTATGCGACCAGTTCTGGTACGGAGGTGAAAGTTTAACATCTTGGGAGCAGTGTGGTAACTTAGGGTTTTGTCAATAGAATCTTCATCAGTAAGTTTGTATTGTTCGAAATAGAGAGAAGGTACGTCGCACCATACATGCCTCCATCGTTTTGAGAGAAGACTAGTTTTGATGGCGAACTTGGTTGGAATGAAGCAAAGTATATGTTGGAGTATCACATCAGGTAAAGAGCTGATTACGTCTGCTCCTTTGATGATTTTCCGAGTAAGTCGTCGTCGACGGTAACAAGTCAAACAACGACGGCCTTTTCTGTAGCTTGCTTCGAGTAAACGACTGACTCTTAAAGCAGCGGTCGACCTCTCGCCGACCATCTTAGGGTTTGTTTTCTTTTCTTTTTTTTGTTTGGACATTTTAGTTTTGGTTTGGCTATTTTATATATATATTTTTATTTTATTTTTGACATCATTACAAATTATACGTATCTCTTTGAGAGGGATCGGGATCGAACCCGGATCTGGTGAGAAGGTAACAGAGGTGACAACCACTAGCCCACTTGTCCTTCTCTGGCTATTTTATATTTATGGTATAATTTTTACGGATATGGTTTATAGATTGTTTGGAATTTAGGATTTAATTTCAAATATTAAAATTTTAACTTTTACTTTTGTTGTATTTTTTTAGGAAACAAAGATTATACTTGTGTTTTAGAAAATAAAACTAATAATGATATTTTTGGAAAATTACTTAGTTAAAGTTAATTGTATCTATGGCAATTTCCCTTAAAATAATAATAATAATAACAAAACATATCGTTTTGTAACCAACGCATAGAACATTTCTCCATGCTTAGCAAAACAGATGCGTGGATCTTGAGGATTTCCGTTCTTGATTGTTCATTTGGCAACGAGATCTCAATCTTTCAATCTAACCTACCCGGACTCGAGATGAAAGACAAAACACTTTGAACTCTATATAGGCACCCCAACAAGTTTCAGACCTCAGCTCGTGAAGTAACTTCACCAAACAGTTTTATGCACGAGTACTAATCTAAAACCATAGGTCATACCTTTCCAAGTTGGTCAAACCTTGAGTAGCTCCATAAGTGTTCACGAGCACACTTAAACATTTCTAGAATCAACACCAAACAAAAAGGTAAAGAGGAGCTTATATATTTAGCACATAGTGTATGTATTTGCCTATTCTTCATCTCGTTATACTTTTTTATGAAACATAAATCTCAGCTGCCCCTCCCACCTCGCGTGATACGTATTCTCTTTCCTTATTAATGGTCCAAACCCATAGGCCATAAAGAAGGGGATTTTGGTCCCAACAAATAGTCGTTTTAAGTCGAGTCTAGGGCACAAGGATCTTTGAGATACGTCTCACATATATCTTCCCGAAGCTTCTATCTAAAGTTCCATCGCCTTACTTCATATAATTTGTTGGTTTGTTTGGGGCATATGTAAAACAGGGTACAGACTACATAACTATATCAATAAGATCTCTAACCAACTCACGAGTATATTCGTATCAAATAACATCCGTTAACAGCATAAGCAATTTCGAGTTCATCTCACGCCTTATATATATATCATCCTGCTTCGAGGGTTATTAGACTACCTTCCCTAGAGCGTTGGTTCCTTGAGAGAATCACATCAAAGCCATAACTATCAGGATAATCACAAGCAACTTCCATGCATGGGCCTCCCGTGACAACCGCCATGTAGTGCGCCTCGATATCAAAACGTACCACGAAAGGCTGCATTGGTAAATCCATTACATACATTCCACATGTGGCTTCAACAACTTACGCAGCTTCCTTACTATCGCCGCTATTAAGATGTGTCGCCCCAAAACTTCCACAACCCGTTAATTAGTGATAACACTTTTTGCCCAATTGTGACCCCCGGCTCTTCATGACACCATCCTCTCCGTCAGGGAACTCCAATAGCACCCTTGAAGAGGTGGATTCTATTGTTTTAATTTATGTTTTACCTTACGCTTATTTTTAGTTTATGTATCAACACATATAGTTTAATTTTTTAAACCATAGAATAACCGAAACCAAATCGATCTAGCTGTGATACATGAGCGTGTTCGTTTGGTCACCGCAGGCGGCAGCGGTGTGGCAGACGCAACGCTTTTGATCGCTGAATCAAATCGACGTTCAAAATTATTAACCGAACGAACAGACTCATGTATCACATAAATTTTAGCAAACTAGTTTCGACCAGAGATCTTAAATACTCGGTGCCTCTAATCTAAGTAATCTTTATCCACTACATTAGATTGTCTCAAATGTTTAAGTGAGGTTCGAAGTAAAAATGGTCAACATGAAATAAAATACCATTCATTATTATTAAAAAGAAAGGTTCAATAAGACAACGAGACAGAGACTAATTAGCCCTATTATTCACACCAATGATCTGATTTAATCATGATCAGTTTGTCTGAGAGCGCAATATTAATAGAGACATTGTTGTGAGAAAGTGTAGGAAGGATCAACTTAAACCCAAGGTAATGTTCATTCAAGAGTAGGTTTATCTTTTCTAGTGTCTTTGCGTTTTTAACCACAAGTTCCACGAATGAAGTTATATGCTTTGACTCTAAATCCCAACGGTTCTTGTTCCAGAAGACTCCATCATTTGATCTCCAGCATTGATCAGGATTCAAGCCTCGCGTAGTTAGGTACTCGTCTAGGCCCTGCTCAATAAAAAGAAAACAAAAATCCAAAAATGGATACATATATAAACTCAGATGATAAATAAAAGATAGGCCAAGGTCCAAAGGAAAATAAAAGAGAGTACAAGGCTAATGGCCATGGCCCTTGTTATATATAACATACCGGTATAATGTTGCAGTCCCTTGCGCGTAAGGTTAGCTTCTTTAAGCAAGGTGAGTTTTGTAACAGCCTTTCGATACCAGGAACAACATACTGAAAGATCACTGTCTCCAGAGCCAAATATTTGACCTTCAACATCGGAAAATGAACACCACAAAGCTCGGCAAGAGATAAAACCTAACAAAAAGAACAAAAAGATCGATATCGAACGCATATATATTGTAGTAATGGGATCAAAAGGTATATATAAACCTGAAGAAAGTTTCCTCCAAAAGTAAGCTTCTCTGCGTTCTGTAACTTTTCTAGCATCTTTAGCACCATTACTTGAAGAACATCAGCATTCACTGTCTTTCGCAGATGGCTGAAGCAAATATCCATTTTCGCTTCGGTTAAAGACGAGACATCAACTAAAGTACAAGGTAACAGAGAGTTTCTTAATCTAAGACAATGGATATGTGGTGCTATGATCTGCGTTGGCCCGGGAACCCAAATGTTGCGGTCCACTTGTAGTGTTGTCAAACGCAATGATTTGCTGAGATCAAGAACCAACAGTTTATCGCAAAAATGCAATGTTAAGGTTTCAAGAACTGGACAACCAGATAGAATCTTAGCAATGGATTCATCCGACACTCTACAAGAACCCAAATACAACTTCCTCAACGATGTCCAGACCACAGAGTCTTTGGGAGTTAAATCAGTGAAAGATAACTTAAACTTGAGTTGCTTCACAGAGGTATTGATGAAGAAGATATCAGGAACATCACACTGTTGATGTCGGACTTTCAAAGACAGATTCTCCACGTCGCGGGCGATGGCGAACTTGATCCACTTGTCTATGTAAAGATTGCTCATGGTATATAGGTGGAAGTTCATCATCTTGGGAGCAGTGTGGTAACTTAGGGTTTTTTCAATAGAATCATCATCAGGTTTGTAATCAACGAAGTAGAGAGAAGGTACGTCGCACCATACATGCCTCCATCGTTTTGAGAGAAGACTAGTACTGATGGCTAACTTGGTTGGAATGAGGCAAAGTATATGTTGGAGTATCACATCAGGTAAAGAGCTGATCACGTCTTTCATGATTTTTCTAACACCGACCTTTGCGGTTGCTTGCTTCGAGTTTATGAGATTTTCTTAGGGTTTAGTTTCTTTTTTATGTTGGACAGCTTCTTAGTTTTTTTTTTTGTTTTTCCTGCCTAAACCACACAAATTAAAAATCGTAAGGGTGTTTGGTTTGGCTAACGGTTTGTTTGGTTTGATATCATTTTAATTTCCCTGTAGTTAGATTTTATGAAAAATATAAATTATAGATCTATATATATCAACTAGTCAGTTGCTCGCGCTACGCGCGGGAATTTTATTACTTTGTTTATAAGTAATTGATTCGTGTTTTATTTCGTACTTATTTTCTCCACTACAACATATTTTTATTTTCTATCTCATGTTGTGTTTGTATAGAAAATCTATTTTATTTTAGTTTCGATAGTAGTTGAGAAATTAAGTGTCTATAATATAAATCCATGCGTAAACATAAACAGAAGTGTTATGGAGAGTTGTAGAAAAATGTGTTATTAAGGCTCCCACCAAATATAGATCTTGATGATGTTAATATTGTGGATCCTTTTAATATGTTAGTCCAAAAGTTGAGAATGATTTGTGGATTTTGCGCGGATTGTTATATTTTTTATTTATTGATTTGGCGATCTCTTGTTTATTATCTATTTATTTTGGTTTGTTATGTTTTTGTTTGTTATTTTTATTTGTTATTTTTTTGTGGATGATGTTTGAAAGGACTTTTCATATTTCTTTTTGAAAAACTTGTTTACATGTGTATAAATATTTAGATTAAAGAATAAAATGATATAAATAAATTATTAAAATTAAATAATAAAATGATGTGGATGATGATTAGGATGATGAGGTGGATTAAGGAGAAGAGAGCAAAGTTAACTTTATATATATAGATTTTCTATTTGTTTTTCGTCGTTTTTAGATTTATTAATTATTTCTAATCATAAGAAATTTTTTCCAGTCCTATTAGATTCATGATTGACCATACTTTCTTCATTTTCATGCTGATGTTGGGCATCTTATTCTTCTTCTTCAATACTTAGAATCACGGAGAACATTCTTTAATTGCGTATCACTGGAGATCTCTTGTAAACATGCCTCCATTAATATGGAGAATCAATAAATCACATTTTTTGGGACTCGAACGCCATACGTTTTGGTGTAGAAGCATTAATTAAGCCTTAATCAATCATTTGGTCAAGGGGATTCCACTAAATTATTTGCATAGCATGGGGTGAATTTTGTTTCATACATGATTTTTGTCTATTTTCATATTTTAAAATTTTAAATTGTTATACTACTTTTAAAGTGTCCCATCATATATTTTTGATATAACTCCCTACAATTAACATGTCTTCTACATTTTAAAAAAAAATCAGAGTATGTTTGTGAGCTGCTTCCGTTTAGCTAAACGACCATGTTTTTTTAAACAAAGAAACGACGTCGGAAGATACTTTCATCCTCCAGGGGTCCACGCCTTAGCAACAACTTGACAAGAGGTAGAGATAATTTGTGAATTTTTCTAATGTTAGGGAGGGAAAAATGTTATTTAAATTTCGAACTTACACATTTTGGCCATTTTAATCCTCGACTTTCACTGTGGTAAATCATAGACTTCTCCTTGGCGTTATTTTTAAATCATTATCTTCTGTTGACTGAGCTAGATTGAGCATGTCGTCAAATCAAATTCTCTGATAGAGGGACTACCAGCCGTTTAGGATCATTAATCAATATCTGTTAAGTTGGAAAATGAGAATCACAAGGACAAACGACGTCGTACTGCCTTAGACGAAATGCCTAAATTCCCAAATCGACGTCGTTTGTCCTTGTGATTCTCATTTTTTGACTTAACAGAGATCGATTAACGATCCTAAACGGTTGTTAACTCCTCTGTTAGACAATTTGATTTGACGACATGCTCAATCTGGCTCAGTCAACAAAAGATAGTGATTTAAAAATAACGTCAACGAGAAGTCTATGATTTTAATGGCCACAGTGAAAATCGATGATTAAAATGGCCAAAATATGTAAGTTCGGGATTTAAATAACATTTTTCCCAATGTTAGGGATTTAGATTAATGAATTTGTGAATCGATTTTGGGATTTTGTTTCTTCAATTGGTTAAACAACGTCTTCTAAAGCAGCTCATGAATAGTTAATTCTCTCTTCGAGATTTAACAAAGATTAAACGTCGTGCTAAATTCAGCGTGATCAACGAAACTTAGCTATTTTACGGAAAAATCAACATAAAATGTGTGATTAAAATGACTTCATGAAAGTTCAGCATTAATCCATCCCAAATTTGAAAGTTCGATTTATATGACATTTTCCCAATAATAATTATCCTGAATTCTATCTGCAGCATACGGTTCCGAACCATCCGAACTGTTGTTACGAACGTATCATTAGTAATTTTGGATACATTATAAAGTAAAATCATCACCTTTTCAGTGTGAATTAAACCATAAGTATAAACATTCCGAAATCATGCAGTTAAGTGAGGTTCAAGTCAAAGATGAAATAAAATACAATTATATGATCATGAGAAAAAAAAAAAAAGGTTCAATAAGACTAGAGAGAAGATCTTATTCACACCATTCATATGATTTCCACAGTTTTGTTGAGAGAGCAACATTGATGGAGACGTTGTTATGATGAGCAAGTGTTGGAAGGACCAGCTCCGTAAACTTAAACCTAAGGTAACGTTCGTTCAACAGTATGATCATCTTTTCTAGTGTCTTTGCGTTTTTAACCACAAGTTCCACTAATGAAGTCACATTCTTTGACTCTACATCCCAACGGAACTCGTTCCAGAAGACTCCATCTTTTGATCTCCAGCATTGATCAGGATTCAAACCTCGCGTAGTCAGGTACTCGTCAAGGTGCTCCCCCTGCTCAACAAAATGAAAAATATATATATGAACTTGATGATAGTTAAAAGGAAAGTAACATAAGAGTTAATGAAATATATATATATATACCCCTATGGTGTCGCATTCCCTTGTTCGTATGATTAGCTTCTTTAAGCAAGGTGAGTTCTGTAACAGCCTTTCTATACCAGGAATAACATATTGATAGATCATTGTCTCGAGAGCCAAATATTTGACCTTCAACATCGGCAAAGGAACACCACAAACCTCCGCAAGAGATAAAACCTAACAAAAAATATCAAAAACATGTATACATTGAGCATATAACTGTGAAACCAACCAGTTTAGGGACATTATCAGATATATATATACCTGAAGAAAGTTTCCTCCAAAAGTAAGCTTCTCCACGTTCTGTAACTTTTCTAGCATCTTTAGCACCATTACTTGAAAAACATCAGCACTCACCAACGTTTTCACATGGTAGAAGCAAATGTCAATTTTCGCTTCGGTTAAAGACGAGACATCTACTAAAGTACTCGGTAAAAGAGAGCTTCTAAATCTGAGACTATGGACATGTGGTGCTATTATCTGTGTTGGCCCTGGAACACAACTGTTGTGGTTTACTTGTAGTGTTGTCAGACGCAATGATTTGCTGAGATCAAGAACCTTCAGTCTATAGCAAACATACAATGTTAAGTTTTCAAGAACTGGACAACCAGATAGGATCTTAGCAATGGATTCATCAGACACTCTACAATAGCTCAAGTACAACTTCCTCAGCGATGTCCAGACCACAGAGTATTTGGGAGTAAAATTATCACTGAAGGTTAACTTATAGGTGAGTTGCTTCACATAGGGATTGATGAAGAAGAAATCAGGAACAGGACACACATGACACCCGACTTCAAAGGACAGATTCTCCACTTTGCGGGATATGGCGAACTTGATCCACTTGTCTATGTAGAGATTGTTCATGGTATAGAGGTGAAAGTTCATCATCTTGGCAGCAGTGTGGTAACTTAGGGTTTTTTCAATAGAAGCATCATCAGGTTTGTACTCATCGAAGTAGAGAGAAGGTACATCGTACCATACATGCCTCCATCGTTTTGAGAGAAGACTTGTTCTGATTGCGAATTTGGTTGGAACGAAGCAAAGTATATGTTGGAGTATCACATCAGGTAAAGTGCTGATTACGTCTGCTCTTTTGATGATTTTCCGACAACGTCGTCGACGGTAATAAGTCAAACGGCGACGGCCTTTGCGGTTGCGTGCTTCGAGTAAACGACGGACTCTTAAAGCGGCGGTTGATCTCTCGCCGGCCATCTATCTTAATATTTGCGGATTTTCTTAGGGTTTGTTTTCTTCTTTTTTTTTGTTTGGGCAGCAAGGACCAAGGAGGTTTATGAAACAGCTTCTTATATATTTTTTTAAAGTTATTATATATTTATGTGATTTGGATTTGTCTATATTTCTATGTATATATAACGAAACAGTGCTATTGATGTCATAATTGTACTAAATATTGTTGGAGAATTACTATTTATTTGTTTGTAGAACTCACTATTGATAGTTTTCGAATTTCAAATGTGTTATAATAGTCCACAAAACTTGTGGTTAGTGCTATTCTAAAGTATCTCTTCTGATCATACAAATGTCTATATCACATTAAAAAAAAATGTTCCAAGTGGCGCCGAAAGATGAATCAAATGACACTTGAGATGCATAAACATAGAATTGCTGTCATTACTAAAGCAGTGTAAACTAAAAAACTCGAAACAGAACATTGAGAAACTGAAACAGTCATTAGCTTGTTTTTCAAAGTGAACAGCAGAGTTTTTCACTTCCCCATTAGGCTCTGTCTTCTTCTCTGAGCTTTTTCTTTTCTTACTCTTTCCCGAAATCTGCGTTGTAGTGAGAGCTCGACTCAAGTTTCTTGGCCTCGCTCAGCTTTCTCACCGCCTGTAAATCCGACAATTTGATAAGCAGAAAAGTTCGGGAACAAATAGATGTGTAAATATGGAAGGGTGCATATTTTTGTTTCTACCTTCATGAAGTCTTCATGGATTACATAGTCACGCTCTGCTCTGATTGCAAACATTCCAGCTTCAGTGCATATGTTACGCAGATCGGCACCATTGAAACCCTATGGATTTTAGAGCAACAATCAGTGGGATTCATTATCTATAGCAGTCGCAGTGAGCATATAAGAAACAGAAACTAACCTCTCCAAGTTTCACGATAGCCTCATAATCTATTTCTCCGTGCTTGGCAATACCAGATGCGTGGATCTTGAGGATTTCCATTCTTGATTGTTCATTTGGCAACGGGATCTCAATCTTTCTATCTAACCTACCCGGACGGAGGAGTGCTGGATCAAGAACATCTGGCCTGTTGGTAGCCATTATCATTTTCACCTAATAATATTATCTCCCAAGTATCAGAAGATATTCCATTGTACAAATATCAGATAAATGTCACTGTAGTAACTAACACTCCTGATGATTTCATATTATAACCAACTGTGTGAAAAACATAAGTTAGAAAGAGAAAACACTTTGAACTATAGGCACCCAACAAGTTACACACCTAAGCTCGTGAAGTAACTTCACCACACATTTTTCTGCACAGAGTACTAGTCTAAAACCATAGGTCATACCTTTCCAAGTTGGTCAAACCCATCAAGCTGGTTGAGTAACTCCATAAGTGTTCTTTGAATTTCACGATCAGCACTAGTTCCTTCACTAAAACGGCGCCCACCGATAGCATCGATTTCATCCATGAAAATGATACAAGGCTAGCCCCACAGAAGGAGAGTTAATATAAAATTAGAACTTCAATATAAAGCATATCAAGGTTAAATAAGACAAGAGAAAAAAAAAAAAAGAAGATGATATTCTACCTGGTGTTCACGAGCATAGTTAAACATTTCTCGAATCAACCTTGCACTTTCTCCAATGTATTTGTCTATAATTGCACTTGATACAACCTATGACATAAAGGCAAATACGAGATAATTTAGAACATATGAGGCATGTAAGATTACACCAAACCAAAACTTCAACAACTAAATCAAACCTTCAAGAAGTTGGCATCAATGTTGCTGGCAATAGCCCTAGCCAGTAGAGTTTTTCCAGTACCCGGAGGTCCATACAGAAGGACACCCTGGAATGAGAGAAAAGCAAATTGAAGTGAGTTTGCAATTCTTTTAGCCATTCATTCATACCAGTAACCACAGGTAAAGAGAAACATAGAAAGTGAAGCATGGGATAGTCTGTGGTAACTTAAAAAAGGAGTGGAGAGAGAAATAAGTACCTTAGGAGGTTTAATCCCTACTCTGAGGAAAAGTTCAGGATTCATGAGAGGCAGCTCAATAGATTCCCTAAGTTCTCTGATCTGATCACCTAAACCACCCACTGCAGAGTAACTAATGTTGCCTGGATCTTCATGCAACATGTTATAAACAACAGGATCCACCTATCATCAAGAGGATAATACAATGTTAAAGCCAGTACAAAATACACTCATTTAAGAGGCCATAAAATAAACAATGCCAATATCAAGCTTACTTCACGGGGAAGGGCTCGCATAATCGTTAACGTAGTCATATCCAGGACAACTCGAGTTCCTGAAGTCAGCTTTTCCTTATCCACCTTGCTACGACAACCCACCACATAACGAGGGCCGCTACTCGCCTTAACAATCACTAAACATTACACAAAAAAACCATAGAAAATTCCAAACTTCAGATTACAGAGCACAAAGCAACACTAGAACAATGTAGCATTCAATCAAAAAGGAAAGCTAAGAGAGACAAGAAATTACATCGCTCATTATCAAGAGGACGTAGTACTTCTCCAATAATCTGACCAACGCTTTGAAGAGACTTCAAATCATCCTCAGTTTTGTTGAATTCCTTCTTAGCTCCTCTTAAATTCTCCCTAGCTGCATCGCCACAAGCAAAACCCAGTTTATAGAAAATCGCAAAACCCAACTATTCAAAAATTCAATTAAGCTTGAGATCGGTCTCAAAATTCACAAATCAAGTGAAGAAACAGTTCAATTAGGAACTCAAAAACCTAATGAAAACAAAGAGTAGGAACGAACCCTAGATTCTATTTTGACCTTTCAGACTAAGCTCAGAGAACAAAAAGATAAGAGAATGAGGAAGATTTTTGAAATCGAACCTGTGCGAACACGAGATTCGAGTTCTTTGTGATGAAGGAGCTTCTTCCGGTACTCAGTCACCGCCGCGGTACGGCGTCTAGCAGCTTCGTCTCCGTCGCTCATCTTCTACAGATCTCAAAATTGACGACACAAAGCCAAATTTTAATTTTATCAAGCTTTTTTTTTTTTAAAGTAATTAGTTTTCTTGAGCAATGGGTTTTGTTAAATATCAAATAAGGGCTTTTGGGGCCATGGCCTATTTATTTTGGTCCGGCTGGGTAAGAAAATATTATTCTTCCATTTATAATCAGCTTTTATTTAGTTAAATTTTTTTTTAAAAATTGTATATTCATTTTATAAAAATTTGTAAATTAAAAAAAAGATTGATTTTTGTTTGATATGTGTAAGATATTTATTAGTTTATCTCAGTGGTATACAGAATACACAAGTAGGATTATGTATGTCAAATAAATTATATGCAAGAGAATATTAAGAATATTTTTATAAATCTACTCAATCACTCCATGCTAAGAGGACGAATGCTGGACAAAATATATTGAGATTGACCTCCATTTTGTCTGGGAGAAGGTTGCTCTTGGTCAAATGCGAGTTTTTTATGTTTTGTCCGCATACAAATATGCGGATATCTTTACCAAAGATCAATCTTTACCTATGTTTTTTTTTTATTTTTCCGGTTTGGCATAAGCATTCGTCCTCCAAATACTCTGACTATAGGGGAATGATAGATATATGAAAATTTTCTTAAATGGGATAGTAATTAACTTCTTTATATAAAGTGAAGATCGATTTTCAATTCTTTTTTCATTCATTAACAATAGATTTCGATGTCTAATCCGCTGTCACATCCGAGAAAAATGTTTTGTAATTTTGCCTTTAACATGCTATTTGAGTCTAGCCTTCCTTACACTGAGATGGAGACTTAATTCCTTATTATTACCTTCAGCTACTGCTTGAAGCCGATCATGTATGAGACGCATACAACATTCCCTTCATCATCTGTTCCTTGGAGTTTTACCCTTGTATTTGTCCTAATAGACAATATTAAGATAAAAATCAGTTAGACGATGGATTACAAATGTAATATATGGTCAAGTAATACAAAAATATAAAAAAATGTCCTTGTTAGTAAACTCACAATACGGTGTTACATTATTCAGAAAGTGATTATGTTTTTGTTGTGTGGAACCTTGAGGTCACTTAGAAATTCATGTAACAAAAACATAAAATCATTTTGTACAGATATTAACAAATAAACAATGAATTATGAAGCTCAAGAATAAAAATATGAAATATTTAATATTAATTTATTTTGTAAATTTTATATTTATTGTTATAATAAAAAAAATTATAAACAAACAAAAAAATTGAAAAAATGAGCTTAAAAGAAAAATCATTTGTTTACTTAATGAGAGTACTAGTATAGTTTTGCATATGTTTTATTTTATAGATCGTAATGCATGTAGTTATAATTAAGTAAAAACACACAAAAAAACATAAAGAAAAGAATGAGCTTAACAACATGAATTATCAATAACTTGATGAGAATGATAGTATATCTACATTATATAAACTTTACTCATTGAAAGTTAGTTGGACATAGGTAAACCCATTACTTATGTGATTCTCACGTATAAAACTAATATAGGGCAATGTTGGATTTCCAAAAATTTGTGAACTTTTTGTACTAATTATGCTTTGTTATATCATATATGTAATACAAACTAAAGAAAAAGGATTAGAAATGACACATAATTTATGATAATGTAGCTCTTATACATTGAGAAGGAGTGCGTAGACTTAAACTCCAGTTTTTATGATGAAATCGATTGTTTTAAAATTGTATTGCAAGATTAGATGTTTGTGTTATTTGATATCCATATTTTGTTTGATATATTATTTAGCTCTAATACATTAAGATGGAATGTGTAACAACTAAAAATTAATTTATTAGGAAAGCTAGTATAATTATTTAATGTGTATAAAAACAAAAATAGTGAGGTTCAAATCCGCATGTATACATAGATCTTATAAAAACACTAAAAGTTGAATAGGTCACTTCGATTTTATCGATGTATTTTTTTTTAACCCGTATATATACACATATATTATCAAGATTTAAGCACTTAAGTAAATCCGCTAATGGCTTGTGATTTGCAAGATTAAATTAGGATCTAAATACCGAATTTAAAGCAACTAAAGAAACAAATGATTTTTAAGTTAAATAAATAAATGCAAGAAAACTAATTTTATATTTTATTATACAATTAATGACGTTCCTTTATATACTTTACACACACAAAATTTGTAACCTTTTGGTGCATTGAAATGTTGTGGATAGGCAGTAAAACATTTGTTGGAATGCCTCTCGGTTGACCGGAACATACAGAACAAATATGATTTAACATCTCTGGACATATTTCGAGCCAACGGTCGCTGCATGGATAAAGACATTGAAAAACTGATAAAAAAAACTGCGGTGGAAAGAGCAAAACTGCTCTACCCAAAGTCAAGATACTAAGTGAGTATTTGAGATCACGGGTTACATTCTGGGAATATTGTTCCATCCAAATTACACGTTACAAAAGCGGCATATTAGACGGAACTAAGACATTTTCATGGAGATTCTTTTTCATTCTCCTTTGGCCTTAGTCAAAAAATTTAGAGTCCTAAACAAAGAATGTAACAAGAGAACTTACACTTAATTGTTTTTCAAATTCAATCTCCAAAGAACCAACATCTTACGCTTATTGTATTGGAACTAAACCAACATCTTCTTATGGGTTTTCCCATTGGATAACCCGCAAAAATGTGATCCAGTTTAGTTTCAAAACCAAAATTTGGTCATATTCCGCAGTTCCTGAGAATATATCGAGTGGTAACTCTCTAAATTTGACAAGCAACGAAGGAGAGCTTGGAATTTTTAGTGTGAGCTCGAAGGAAGAAATGGGTTATGAGGAGATATCGGTTTTGGAAACCATTTTTGAAAGTTCTTGGGTAAATGTGAAAGAGATTAAAATCAATGCGCTTGAAACCGTGGAATTGTTAAGCAATGACGTCCTAACGCTGGCTGCTCATAATTTACAAATAAGGGCTCTAAACTTTTACCCTTCCCATTATTTGACCATTATTTGATTTCCTCTCATTTATGATGATTACAAGAGAGTTGAATTTGACGGGAGATCCAATGGCTCTAATGAAAATTGAGAAAGTTAAACGACTTATGGTTTTGTTATTATTTATTAATCTCTCTGTTTTTAATTAGCTATCGATTTTGAGTTAAAATTTTGTTTCATAATAATTATTTTTTTAAGTTTTTTTTAATGCAAATGTTTGGTAAAACTTCTAATTTTATTTTACGGTTTTAATGTTTTTGTCAATAAAAAATTCGAAAATAGATTAACAAAAAATAATAATAATTACTTTCTTAATTTGTGTGAAAAACCTTAAAATACAACTAATTAAAAACGGGAGGAGTATTAACTGTTTTCACTTTCAGTATTTTGCTCCACTTTTCAGTATTTTGCTCCACTTTCATGTTTATGAATCTTGATTTTGAAACAAATGTTGTGAATATTTTTGATAAAATAAATCTCTTAAATACGAAATTTTTATGCTCACTCCTTCAACAAACAACAAACGGTACATTCTCATTCAAAGTTGTTTAATTAGATCACTAATAACATATTGAAAACAAACATAACACGACTTATTAATTCTTCATCAACCATTAATACAATAACATACTGATCAAACAAAGTATTTTTTACTTTGTTTTTTTAGTTAATCACATGACAACTCTTTCTAATCTCACCATTAAAACCAGTAAGAGGCTGTATATTCCCCATATTAACCATAGACTTTGCGAACTGTCGGAAGAAAAGGCTCTCATCTTCAGCATAAGCTTTCACCAATGCAACAGTCTTGTCTACATTACCAGTGATAAGCACTTCATCTGATGTCAATAAGCCTTTGCCCCAAAGAAGGAGTTTGAAGTATGTGTTGTCGAATCTAGCAGGAGAGGCTAAGTCTAGTGGTGATATGTTGTTGTCCCCTCCCGTTGGTGGACAAATTGATCTTAGTCCATAGTAGTATGATCTTTCTAGTGTCTCGTCTGGTTGGTTATTACCGTTTTGGTTGTATAGTCTTTGTTTGAATGTTGTGCATCTCGCTACTCCAATCGTATGCCCTCCTATAAAAATTTTGGTTTTATTCAGTTCGGTACGGTTAGGTTTCCATGATAACTTGTATAACAAGAATAATACATGTTATTAAGCTTACCTGATAGGGAAACAAGGTCTTCTTCGTTTAAACCTTTGCGTTGGAACATGGTTAAGAGGTTCTGAATAGTTGAGTTTGGTGCAGGAATGTTCGTGTTTGCGCCGTTGAGGCTAGCTGTTCTCGAGTCTCTTCTCCCTAGTGGAAGCTCCCATGATGGTCCACCGCTCTGTATTGAACCACAAAGTTAGCAATATTAGCTTATATAACTTGTAAGTCATGAGCCAAATCTCTTGAAGGTGTCTCTATTTTACCAGTACAGTTGAGCCACGAGCAGCAAGAGCAAGAATGTCAGCACAGGACACGACTTGAGGACAAGCTTGTTCCAGTTTAGCTTTGATCTCATCTATGACTTGAAACCCTCTAATGGAGTTCTTGTTTGGTCCTGCGTTCTTTTCACTTTGTATGGTAGCACTATCATCCAACAAGATTGATGCATCACATCCCTGTTTACATACACATTTGAGTAAATAAGTGTTAAGCTTATGATACACATAAAGGGAACACAAAGATAGGTGATGATGAGTGATGACTTTACCTGGACAAAGCAGTCGTGGAAGTGAAGCCTGAGTAAAGAAGCAGCCATTCTTGGCTCTCTAGCTATGGCTTTTTCCAACACAGTCATAACAATCTCATCAGCTTGTGGGCAAGAGAACTGGTAAAACTGTGGGTAAAGACTCGAGGAAAAAGTCCTTCCGACGGGACGATTACTTCTCCATCCAAATCCTAGACCTGGATGAGCAACAACAATATCAAAAGAGAACATAGCAAAGAGCACAAGACCAGGAACAAGCATTGAGATAGCCATTTTTTTGTAACTTTGAGAGTTTTCTAATATGAGATAGTGTAATAGAGAGGTGATGGGTTTTTATACTTGAAGAGATTCGAAAAAAGCTAACTGCTCTCAGTTTACCAAATCCTAATTTTGAGAATGTAAAGATAAGGAGAGAGACATGGTCAACTTGTCCTTAGTATATACAATACCTCCTCTTTGTTCTTTTTTGAAGTCTTTGTACCAACTCCAAAAACGAATCCATGTGCCTAACTTTCACATGTGATCCCAACAAAAACGCCTTGTACAACTATTAGGTAAAGTCTTTCAACCATAAGCATCTGCATTGTCTAACCTCTTTGTGTGTTCTATCATTCTATGAGAGTTGAAGTTTGAAAATGATCAGTGAACTGCTACACTGAGAAACAACTCTTTACCAAACAAAGATTTCTCTTCATTATACAAAATCCACTTTGCAGCTTATTAGTCTTTTGGTTACTAAACAAGATCAGAGCAATGCAATACGCCAATACCTAATACATAGAGTTTGATTTAATGCTACAGAACATTTAGTTATCTTTTGACCCAAGTGTTTCATAGGTTCAAGCAGCTATGCAAAAGGAATATAAATAGTCACATTGCTTCAGAATCGATTCTCTGTTTTGGATACTAACCCGAAATTCCGATCCGAACCCGATTCGAACCCAAACCCGAAACTTAGAAATACCCGAACGGGTTTTATATCTCTAAACCCGAACCCGAAGAGAACCAAAACCCGAACGGATATCCAATACACCATGATATAAATATATAATAAAAATTTATTAATAATATATATATTTGTAATAATTTAATGTCAAAATTATCCAAATTTTGTATATTTTGATCGTTTTAAAGTTCTAAACTCTTTTTTAAATAAATTTAAGTGAAAAAGAATATAAGTTTTGAACTTTTTTAGTAGTTTGCACATATTTGGATACTCAAATTTTGAATTTTGAGAATTTTGGTAATCCGAACCCAAACCCGAAATACGCCAGCGGGTTCTATATCTCTAAACCCGAAAACCCGAAAATCCAAAAACCCGATCCGAACCCGAACGCCCAGGTAAGTAACCATATAAACTGCTTCAGAAAACAAAACATCGAAAGGAAATGTTAAAAGTCAGAACCGATGGTACGAGTGGTTTTAAAAACGACACAGCTTTGTGTCTGGTATAGAACGTATCAAAGTTACACTGTTTAGTTCAAAGCTTTTAACTTTAAGAAAGAACTACAAAAACTAACACTTTGTTACTTTTCAGATACTGCCTACTCGTCCAAAATAAGCCATGATGTTGAGAAACATGATAGCAGCAAGCCAAACAAGTGTATTGCCGGCGATCAAAAACCACCATCATGGTTTGTATCATCACTCACCCATTAGTGGGATTCAAGGTTTCAGATGAAGCTAAGCTAGAGCTGTTAGAAGACTGTGTAGAGGGAGGAGTATCTGATGATGCCTCTGTGATTCCAGCAGAGTACTTTTTGATCCTCAATGAAATTAGAACACTTGACAGTATCCCAAGTACTGGGAAAACATAACCCCAGACTTTACTTTTCTGTTTCCCGGCTACAGAAGCTACAGCCATACCAGCAAGGCTACCGACTGATGCGTTCTGTAAGATCATCGGGAGGCAGCCAATAACTGTTGGGAACAGAAAATCAGCTACAAACCGGACTTCTGTGGCTGCCAAGGCGTAGTTTATGACATAGGAAGGGATTGGCGAGAACCTTGCTAGAAGAACAAACTTCCAACCATCGCGCTCGACTCCTCTCGACAGAATATTGAAGTATTTGTTTCCCTTAGCCCACCCAGTTGCTCTGGTTGAACTCTTAAAAACAAACCTAACAATACAAAAATACGTATGAGAGAATGGCAAGTGTTCTTCCAAGAGATAAATGTGGAAACTAACATCCAAGTACCATTCTCCAACATATGCTAATGACAAATAGAATCACATAATGCATTTTAACAGTTCCTTCATACTTCTCCATCACATTCACAAGAAAGTATAAAATTTCCTCTGAATAACCAACAAAGATTAATTCGTCTACTCAAAGGTTCCCTTCTTATCATGCTTACAGTTTAATGGATTCAAAAAGTTATGAATAAGGTGGTTTCAGTGATGCTGTATTACAGGACAATCAAAACCTACATCTTCATCACATCCACACGACAAGAACCAATCTCATCAACACACTATTATAGAAGATGAAAACAATGCATCTTCCTCTACACCCTTATTACCATACTTACAATTTAATAGATTCCAAGAAAAGTTCTGTATAAGGTGAGTGATAATATTACAGGACAATCAAAACCAACACCTCCAACAACTAAAAGCTTAAGGCTAGACAAATCGATAACATAAACCAATAACACATACAGTTTCTAAGAAGCCATATGAGTATCCTTGATCTGAACCCTAATCACTTTAATGGCAAACACAATAATCACAATTTCGTACATTATTAACACAAACAAAACAATCCAGAAGCTCAATTTGAATCATAACTGCGTTTAACAGTTCCTTCATACATCTCCATCACATCCACAAGACAAGAACCAATCTCATCAACACACTATAAGCTACAGACGATTCATCTTATCCACCTTTTTGGCCAAACTCAGTATCTAATAACTTTTCCTCTCAATAACCAACAAAGACTATTTCGTCTACACCTTTCTTATCATGCATACAATTTAATGGATTCCAAGAAAAGCTCTGTATATAGTGATTTCACTGATGGTGTATTACAGGACAATCAATAACACACACAGTTTCTAAGATGCCATGGTGAGTATCCTTGATCTGAAACCCTAATTACTTTGATTGTTAACACAATAATCACAATCACAAAACAATCCACAAGCTCAATTTGAAATCACAAACACAGAAACGGAGAGGAGAAGGAACGAGACCTGCCGATCCAGAACGAGAAAGAAGCGGCGAGAACCTTAGCAGAGAAAACACAGAGAAGAGCAGGAAGGAACCCAAAGAGCATAGAAGCACCAGCTTCAAAGAAGACGGCGTGAGGAAGGCAAAGAGCTAAGGTCACGGTGTGGACCGCTACATACGTCGGAATCGCCCAAATCCCGAGCCGATCTGACCATTCCTTGAGCGTTTCCAACGCCGCTTCTTTGTTCCATCCGTATTGAGTCGTGCCTTGTCTCACGACTATTGCGATTATCGCCACCGTGGCTGCGATCACCAACCATTTCTTCATCCCGGAGCTCTCAGAGATTAGAAGAGAAGAAAGTGTGAGACAGTGAGAGGAAACGATTTTGGTAATTTGTCGCTAGTGATTTTTTAAAAAGAATATATTGCAAAATGAGACCTCCAACTTTTAATGTTTTGCAAATATATCCTTGATTCTTGTAATGAGAGAAGAGACGAATCACAAGCAATTCCAAACAGGGAAAATCAACTCAAACTATTTTCCGAAGGCATTTTCATATCTAAACTCGCGTACTCTGAATTTTAAAACCCAAACCAGCTTTCAAATCAAATAACCAATCTAAACCACATCAATTTTAGTCGATTTCAACCTCGACGTTAAAATATCTCTGCCAGTCTCGAAGATTTGGACAATCAAGCTTAAGCTTCTGTAAAAACCAAGAGAACTGGACTCGGATTTTACAAAAGCTTAAGCTTGATTATCCAAATCCTCAAGATGGGCAGAGATATTGTTAACGTCGAGGTTGACATCGAACAAAATTGATGTGGTTCAGGTTAGTTATTTGAATTGAAAGCTGCTTTGAGTTGTAAAATTCAGAGTACATGAATTTGGGTATGAAAATGCCTTCGAGAAATAGTTTGGGTTGATTTTCTCCGTTTCCCCCATCTTCTCTATATTATCATTATTTTTAAAATATATTTGTAGATTTTTTTTTGTATCTATAATTCTATACTATTAATTGGGAAGGACAACTTGAAGCCAAACACCCCCAATTAAAAAAAAAAAATTCATAAAATATATTACAGTTGCCAAACAGAATTAATGACAGCAAAAAAAAAAGAAAAAAAACTATCTATTTTTATGGAAATCATAATAATCTTTTACCATAAAAAGTGGACAATTAAATTCAAATTAAATATATGTAAACATATCTATTTTGAATATACATAAACATATTTAATATTTTAATATACTTTCGAAAGTAATAATTTATATAGAATGAAATCTAATAAAACAAAATCATCATATATCTAAATAAACAAAGATAACATTTTTTTTAGAAAAATAAAAAGATAAAAAATATGTTAGCATATGAAATAATCAACTAATCAAATTCTATATAGTATATATACATAACTGATCATATCATCAAATTTTAAAAAATT